GTGTCAAGGGAAAAATGCAATATCCAGGATGTCAAGAGAGAAGTAACGCTATATATGGAGTCGAGATAGAAATAACACTATGCAGGGTGTCAAGACAGAAGTGACACTATGGAGGGAGTCACGAGAGAAGTGACACTATGCAGGGTGTCAAGGGCAAAACGACACTATCCAGGGTTTCTAGAGAGAAGTGACACTATATAGGGTGTCAAGAGAAAAAGGACAGTATAAAGGGTGTCACAATAGAAGTGACACTATACAGGGAGTCACGAGAAAAGTGAAACTATACGTGGTGTCAAGAAAGGAGTGACACTATACAGGGTGCGAAGAAAGAAGTGACACTATACATGAACTCAAGAGAGAAAGGACACTTTACATGGTGTCAAGAGAGAAGTGACACTATACAGGGTGTTAAGAGAGAAGTGACTCTATACTGGTTTTTAACAGAGAAGTGAGTTTATAGAGTGAGTTAAGGGAGAAGTGAAACTCAACAGGGTGTCAAGGAAAAAGTGACACTATACAGGGTGTCCCGACGGGTGACACTATAGAAAGAGTAACGAGAGAAGTAACAATACACAGGGTGTCAAGAAAGAAGTGACGCTGTACATTAAGGGAGAAGTGAAACTCAACAGGGTGTCAAGGAAAAAGTGACACTATACAGGGTGTCCCGACGGGTGACACTATAGAAAGAGTAACGAGAGAAGTAACAATACACAGGGTGTCAAGAAAGAAGTGACGCTGTACATGGAGTCAAGAGAGAAGTGACACTATACAGGGATACTAATCAATTTATTGTGAAGTTTCAATGCTTGATCGGTATGTTAGCATCCCACTGGTGTATTGCTGTGTATATTTTGTGGTTTGAAGTTTTGTTAAATGTTAAGCCTGGTTCACACGAGTGAAATAAGCACTAGCGTCCAAGCTTTTGTTTCTATCGCTCTAGAGGTTTATAAAAACAAATACATCATGGCATTTTCTTTAAATCTTTTATTTTTGTTCTTCTTTTGTTCTTCTCTTAGCTTATTCATAAACATTTTTTTATGCTTGCGCTTATGTCCATGCTTATATCACATGCTTCGTTAATTATCTTTGTTTTATCTTTTGTCTACGCTTGTGCCTATCCTTATTTCACTCGTGTGAACCAGGCTTAAAGTTCTCAGGAGAAGAAAAGCTTTCGCGATAGTACCAAAGTTATGTAAAACATGCATGTAGCAGACAAGTTAGAATCTTTATGCATCAATAACACAGTCATGAAATCATCACAATAAGTCGTCAGTTTCTGTTGGCGTTATTTGATACACCTTTTATGCAGAAATCATCTCATTGTTCGTAAACTGTTGTTAACGCTGTGGTTACACACAAAGAAACCTCATAAAATTCTTTATGAATTAATGAGAAAAGTTGAAAAACGCTTTATTATTTACAGAAGCATCGGTTCAGAATCTTTATTAAATAAACCCAAGGCTTAATGAACTTAAATGTGCATGAAGAACATCCCTTTTCAGATGAAAGCGGTTCAACACCAAAAAGTCCACCATCTTTGTCGTGACATTTTGCTAACACTCATGAGTCAGGAGTCAGAAAAATGCTATTTTTAAAAAACGAATTAACGTAACTTGCTTTACATCTGATCCGATTGCATCATAAGTAAGACTTTTCATATACTTATAAGGTTTTTTGTGATTTGACAGCGAGAAACTCTGTAAGACCTCCGTGCCGGTTGACAGATGCTAGTTTTGTACAAAATTCGTATCACAAACTGCTAGCAACTTTCAATGTCAATGAATCGATACAAATGTAAATAATTCTTCTATTTACTCACAATGCCCAAAAACGTTCACCAGATTGCGTCTGTTGGTAGGGGCTAAAAACGAACAAAGTTGCAAATTTCGCTTTCAAACGTGTTCGATCCTGCTTCGATGTTATGTATGGTCGTATGTCATATATAGACTTATATGATTGCCGTAGCAACATTTTCACATCAGCATCCAGTCATGTGCATAAGTATACCATCGTGACGTAATCATGTTAATCATTTGCCTTGAAAGTTATTGGTTGTTTGAATTGATAATTGTGTACAGTGGTGAAAAAAAAACTCGATTCGATTGGTTGGCAGATTTCGTGAAGGCTTCATGATGAAATCATTTTCTGAGAAGGTGATGAGGTCACATGATGGTCACAAGATATCTTAGTCATATGACTGTCACATGTTTGCTGTTATTATATTATTATCATTATGACTGTCAAATGTTAGTAATAATTACTTTGTTTGAAGAGGGGGACACGTAACAGCTGAAAAGCTGACAAACCTGTGGCCCTCTAACTAGATTATACAGCATTACAAAAAACTGATAAATGAATAAATATATAAATAATTACAAAATTCTATGATAAAAATAGCAGGACATATAAAAAATATTCAGAAAGATAAAATTAATTTATAAAAATTAAAATTAAAATTAGGTAGTGTGCTATTGCTTAATATTGTTTCAAAGTTGTCCAGGTTTTATATCAGCTTATAAAATGCTTTTCACAGCTGTTTTGAATAGATTTATACTAGGCTTTTTGATATCATGGGAAGGCTGTTCCATAACTTAACTGCGTCAACACTGAATGCCTTGCCACCATCGTTATTTCTTAGGTATTTGGGACACACTAAATTTAAATTGCCATGTCTCGTGGACCTATTGTGAACAGAACTGTTCGTCTTGAACAAATCTTTGGTATAAATAGGAACATCGCATTTGAGGCTCTTAAAAATCATGGCACATTTGTTTAGTTTTATTTCGTCAAAAAAAGGCAACCAGCCTAGTTCACTAAAGTTTACAACACTTCTAGAATAAGGGTCTACTCCAAGAATTACTCGGGCAGCCCTTTTCTGTAACCTTAGGAGACAGTGGAGTTCTTTAACGTCGCAGGTATTCCAAACCATGCTTCCGTACATAAGGACGGATTTAATCAAAGCGTTATAGTATAAAAGTCTTTCTTTTATTGGAAGGTATCTCTTTATCTTTTTCAATAAACCAATACGCTGAGAAAGCTTGGCCTTTAGGCTAGAAATGTGGTCACTAAATGTAAGATCTTGATCGAGTGTTACACCAAGCAATTTATAAGAGGTTACTTGTTCTATTTCGGCCCCATCAAGGGTCACTGACAGGTGATTGCCATCAACTAATGATGAATGTAGCCTCTTTCCGGTGATAAGTAATGCTTTGGTTTTAACAGCGTTTAGGACCATCCCATTTTCGCTAGACCATTTACTTTATTTATCCATGTATTCTTGAAGACGTCGTTCCAATTCCAAAGGTGCATTATCGATATTAGCGCTGGCTTTAAATGTGGTGTCATCCGCGTAAGCATGAATAGTTGAGTCCGATCCAACAGCTTCGGGAAGATCATTGACGAAAATTAAAAACAGTAGAGGTCCTAATATGCTACCTTGAGGAACTCCATTGGTTAGCATAAGTTGTGACGAAGTCGAGTTATTTACAGTGACACACTGTTTGCGATTGAGTAGATAGCTCTGCAATAGCTTTACAACATTATCTGGAAATCCATATGATCTTAACTTTACTAGGAGAATGTCATGATTGATCAAGTCGAATGCCTTGCTATAGTCCACAAAGACTAAGCCGCTGACATTGTTTTTATCAAGGTCAAGTAGGACTTGGTTCAGAAGAAACAACAAAGCAGTATCCGTGGAGTGGTTTTTACGGAACCCTGATTGGAAGCGGTATAAAAGTGCATTTTCTGTTAAGTAGGTGCTCATTGCATTGAAGATGTGTCTTTCAAAGACTTTAGAAAGAATAGGCAAAATATTAATAGGACGATAGTTTTGAATATCTTGCTTGTTTCCTTGATTCTTGAATAGTGGTTTAACCTTTGCTATTTTCCATTGTGAGGGAAATGTACAAGTTTCAATACAGTGATTTATAATTTTAGCTATGGAGCATGATATTTCAGGAGCTGCAATCCTTAGAACTCTGGCACCAAGCCCATCGATTCCCGTGGCTTTGTGTGTAGGTATACTTAGAAGATAATCGTTAACCTCACTAGGAGTTATTTGCAGAATAAGATTCTCAATTTGACTGTTAGATTTGTCTTGTGGACCAGGAAGAGCATCATAATAAAGTATAGGTGCCGCTTTTATGAGACGTTTATATACATCATCGAAGAAGCGGTTAAAGCGTTCAGCGATTGAATGGTCATCCTTTATCAGGTTGTTGTTTTTGTCAGCAATAGGGACGGAGTCGTCATTATTCCTTGTATCTTTAGATAGGTCTTTAATTAAAGACCAAAGTTTCTTTGGACATTTTTGATTTTTACTGAACTGAGTTTTAAAGTGCTGTTCCTTCGCATTTCTTAGTTTCCTCGTCACTTTGTTTTTAATCAGTTTAAAAGCAGACCAATCTTGTTCATTTTGTGTTCTCCTGGCCCTCTTTAGAAGATTATCGCGTTTATTTATTTCGTTGTATAGATCATTAGTGAACCATTTCGGCTGATTGATTTTCTTCACACTCTTGAACTTTAAAGGTGCGTGATTATCAAGAATGTTATTAAAGGTTTTGTACCAAGATTCAACAATGTTATCGGCATCTCGAAAAACAAAGGAGATATCCCAAGGGGCTTCTCTTAAGTCTCGTAGAAAGCACTCTTTGTTGATTTTGTCGATATTTCTGTATTTGATTTTGGAATGCTGTTTACGTTGTGCATCCATGGTTTTGTAGCACCTCAAGATACTGACCGGCAGGTGATCGGAAAGTCCAGATTTACCTATGGCTACTTCTCTAATTCTAGCAGGATGACTAGAATAAATATGGTCTAAGCACGCATCAGAGGCAGGTCTTGTTACTCTATTTACTATCTGCGTTAATCCAAGACTGTTCAGTGTCTTTGCTAGTGTTATCACCAGAGCGCATGCTCGCCACTAAAATAAACGAGTAGTGTGTTGTTGTTCAATTATGTGTTCAATCATCAAAATTTGACAAATTCCCTATCTCATCCCTCTGTGCTCATCTTTCTTCCCTATCTCATCCCTCTATGCTCATTTTTCTTCCCTATCTCATCCTTCTGTGCTCATCTTTCTTCCCTATCTCATCCCTCTATGCTCATCTTTCTTCCCTATCTCATTCTTCTATGCTCATCTTTCTTCCCTATCTTATCCCTCTATGCTCATCTTCTTCTCTATCTCATCCTCCTATGCTCATCTTTCTCTTGCATATACTACAGTTTCTTTCATGTTTTTCACCCTACACATTTTCTCTTTCTTTCTTCTTTCCTTTTCTAAATCTTTTCTCGCTTACTTTTTCCTGCCAAGACCTTTCTAACATTGGTATCAAATTTCCTTTAGGATAAGGGTTGGAAAGACAGATGGCTTTGTGTAGATGGTCGTCGAGTTATGTACTTGGAGAAAGCAACGGTAATTATATCCTAATGTCTGTGTCATAAGACAGGAAATTGCTGATGTAAAAGATTCACTTCAATTCGTATTGTTGTGACGCTACTTTGTGCTCAAATTTAATTATCTCTCTGTGCACATATTTTTTATAAAATTAAGACGAGTACACAACCCCCTGTATTTAAATAGTTTGTAATATATTTAATAATCAGCGGCGTGGGTCTTGTATGATTGTGATCACGTGGTTGATGACGACTTGTTGTCATTTTAAATTTTGTTACTTACCCCTTGATGCGTTGCTGGTTTCTAGGACGCGTTCCCGAAAGGCGAATTTATATTAGGCACGAAAGGCTATGACGTCACCTCGGGTTTTAACGAATACGAGGCCCCGCTCAGCTACGGCTTTTCGATTCACACACCAGATCGAGTTTACGAATTCAGTGCTGGCACGGAGGACGAACGGGACGAGTGGGTTAAAGATTTGAAGAAAATAGTATCAACGTCACTGACGGAAGAAGATAGAAAAGGTTTGTAAGAATATGTTTCACTTGTGAATTTCCGACCTGCTTAATCAGATTGTAATTTGTTAAAAACCTACTGAGTTAATGTCAATTGTACCATCACCATCTTGGCATGGAAAACTGCATATTGATTTTCTTGACCTTATTACGTCATTAAAAATAACAACGACATTGATGTAGTCCGTGTGGCATGTTTATTTGCATACCGTAAATGGTCTAATTAACGCCTCGGGCGTTTAATAAATTCTGGCGGTTGTAGTGAGGAGATAATTTCATGCAAATAAAGGAGAAACTCCCGCGTGTTTCACGATAAGTTCACGCGTTGTTCTCATTATATTCACACTTATTTCATGATAACTGACTAAATATATATCGAGGCAGTTATTGCTTGAGGTTTTGCCAACTGGACAATCGCATAACCGTGTTTTAATAATCTCTTTCCAGCAATTACGTTGAGCGAAGATTTAGAAAGAAAAAAATCTCAACAAAGTTCATTATCCAGAATAAGTCAAAAATTTTCATAACATATAAATTATATTAATCTTTATATAGATATATATATCTATATTTTTGTATATGATGCACCTAAAAGTCAAATGCCTTCAGACTTATATTCAATAAACCAAGAGTTGCTAAATATACAGTAGCGACAATAGTTCATGTTGCAAAATGTATGTAAATTTATTGTACTGCCGTATAGGAAAAGAGCCGTGTCTATGATAAATACCACACACAAATTTTATATTTATAACCGCAGAATTTTATTCACTTTTAATGATAAACCATACAATTGTTGATTTGTAAACATTTTCGCTCATGTAACAAGGCATGTTGATGTTTTATAAAATATTTTATAAAATATATAACAGTTTTACAATTGAAGAATAGTAGTGTGTTTTTTGAATGCCACCATAGTTCGCCTCTGGAATATGTCACGTGAGAGAGCCTGGCATGGTTCTTGACATTATTTGATAACGTCATACTCAATGATTTAGAACCCAATCCCCAAGATGTGAACGTGACATCCTTAGACAAGGACCCATCTTGAATGGTGGCAAAAAACCAAAACTCTCAATCAAAATAAGCTGAAATTTTTAAGGAAAATTTTAAAAACCAAACCTATACTATCAACTCTGCAATAGCGTTTCAATAAAAAAAAAGCAGACTTTAGTCGTAAATATCGTCAATTTTGCCACCTTTCAAGATGGAGGCTTGCCAAACTCGTAACTAAAAATTTTGGCGGTGTCCGGTATCTAGT